GTAAAGGAGTCAGATCCCACTTGACATAGCGAGGAATAGCATTGGGCTTGTGAGGTTGTAGGATGGTTGTGTGCTCACACAACCAATACTTCAATAAAACAACAAAGACATATGTTATTTAGCATTCGCATAGTAATGTCAACATATGTGAACATTAATAAGAGTGACATTGTTGTGAACATTCACAATAGTATACCATGAGTGAATATGAACATTCACATCAGTGGTACAGATGTGAACATTCACATCTGTGAAACATAAGTGCATATGGACATTCTTATCAGTGGTACAGATGTGAATGTTCACAGTTGGCATAGATGAACAACACTCAAGGACATGTGAATGTTATTATTTGAGAACATGGGTACTTACCATTAATAACATGACATAGTCGGTGACTTTTGTCGGCTTTTTGTCGTTTTGGGAAATGAAGGATGTCAACGTTGTTCTAATTTGCTTGGCCCAATCATATTCTTATATGCTTTCCAATAGGACCATATGTGCGCAGTAGCCCCATCCTATTGTCTCATCGCTTGTCGAGAAAAATTTTTTTTGGCAAGCATACATGCAAACTAGTTGGGCAACTTCTTCGTTGTCATCTTTCTTTTTGCCTTTCAATGCCTTGGTCAAAAGGGTGCGTATCCATTTTGAAGTCAACTGGCTGACATTTTTGCACCTTTTGTTTATAATGCCAGTCTTTGGTTTCGTACCATATGATATGTCTATTGGCTTGGTGTCACAGTCCACACCAAAAATCAGCTTGATATCGTTGTCGTGTATGTTCATCTTCTTCTTTCCAATGTAGAAAGCATATTTTGAAGCTTCGTACATTTGTAGGACATGCACAACAACATCATTGTACTTCATGCATTTGTCAAGGTCGATCTCACTGTTTCTCAATGCATCTAATAAATGCTAGAAAGGTGTTTGTCGCTGGCAGCCAAGCTGTGCTTGTGTGAATTTGGTACTTTTCATTAATTTCACAAGTCCGGTCATGTTAGATCTGTAGTTGACACATCGCATGTCAACATTTCTGCTAGTATTTGATTGTGGGCTTTCTTCCTTAACATGGTACTCATCTCTTTTTCTTTTTGAGGTTTTCTTTTGTGCAATATCTGCAAAATGGAGCATTTAAAAAAAATTAAGTTAAGGCTCATGTGATTAGCATAGTGGAACAGATGTGAACATTCACAGCATTGCCATTGATGTGAATGTTCACAGTTGTGTGCATAGGTGTGAATGTCCACAGTTTTGTGTATGGATATAAATATCCACATCTGTACATGGCTGTAGATGTTGACTGTGTCGGCACAAACACAATGTGCATATTGTGTGAGTGTGTAAAAATCAATGTATGTTTATACAACCATGAACAACATTCAAGAAGATGTGGATGTTAACACAAACATATAAAATGATGTTGTGAACATTTGCAGTCCTAATTTGTATGGCAATGTACGTTCTTACTACAATCATGCAATGCCAATCTTCTTATACAACCTCAAATTGAAATACAATTTGAAACATGGGATAACAAAAGTGATGTATTTCCTCTAAACACAGTGGTTAATGTTCACAAAGTGTCTAATTAATTTACACATGTAATGAATGTTCACAACATAATTATGTATCACAATAACATCTAACACAAGGAATTTTAAATGTGAATGTTCACTACGGTTAATAACAACAATTTGATAGAGGGGGGAAGGATAGTGTTAATATTTGCAGGGACTGTATTTCATGCCATTTTCATGTAAAATAATTAAGAATTGAAGGTTCATGTTATTGGATCACCATTAACAATCAACAATACCAACAAGACAAACATTCACAAATAGGGAAAAAATTAACTACAATATTACAAAATAATGATTGGCCAAACATTTTCAATCCATGTGAATGTTCACAGCTTTCAACAACAACAACAATAATATTTAAAATAATTTGATTATCCAAACATTTTCAATCCATGTGAATGTTCACAGCTTTTAACAACAACCACAACAAAAACAATTTGGTTTGGTCAGCATTCTTCCAAACTGTTTGAATGTTCATAGTTGTGAACACAACATAATGGCAACTGTAATGTTTTTGATTGAAAAAATAATATAATTAGGGATTATGATTGAGGAGTTCAGATTAAAGGTTAGGGTATGAACAATATGGACTCTTATATATTGTATGAATAAAAACAGGAGATATTTGTAAAAGTTCACAATATTGTTTGTTGAAAAAGAGATTTAGGGTTTAAATGCACGAATGAGTAGATTACTTATGTTTTTTGCCCATTTCGACGATTGTTTTGTCACAAATTATTGTCGAAGGTGATTTTGACGAAGATAGACCTTACGGATGTTCAACAATGGTGATTCCATGATTTCGGCGACCGACGGTGTATGGATGGCGAAGAAGATGATGAGGCGATGTGACATGATGATGAACAAAGACAGTCTTCTGGGCATTGAGATGATATGGAATACGACTTTGGATTTTTGGAATGGTGGAGATATTGTACGTGATTTCCTGCAAGAAGAGAGGGGAAGAGAGACGGTTATTTGATTCAAAGAAAGGATAGGCGCATGTTTGTTTGAGGGTTTTTTTGGTCTTTTAGTATGAAATGAACCTAATGGAATATTGGCCCTGTTTGGTAGAGCTGTGGGAAAGTGCTTATAGCTTATGCCTAAACAGCTTATAGCTTATAACTATGAACATAAGCTGATTTCTGACTTATAAATTAAGTATCTCCTGCCCCACTCAAAGAATAAGCTGATTTCTGACTTCCAAAAAGCTATAAGTTATAAGCTATAAGCTAAACCAAACACATCAAAATAATTTAAATTAAGCTGAAAGCTGAAATAAGCAGCTTTTAACCTGTACCAAACAGGCACATTATAAAACACTATGGATCTTATGGAATTACACTCTTAGATAATGGATTTACTGAAAAAGCACCCTTTATTCTATGTATGATCTATAATTAGTTTTAAATTTACATCTTATACATTAATTTCAAGATAAAATTTTGATTAACTTTTCACAGTAATTATAGGCAAATTAATTGACTTATCTTGAAATTTAATAATTATACTAACAATCCTTTATAGGTTGATTAAAATGACAAAAATTAATGCAAATGGTATGAATATACAATGATAAATAAGTTAAAATATATATTTTAGTATAAAAAAATTAATTAACTCGTTTGCTTTTGATTTTCAGAAAATAGTTTTCAAAAATTTTTACCTTTTTATTTTTTATATTTTAATATTTTCAATAATTTTTTTAAAATATTTTAAGTGTTATATGAATCAAAACATTAATATTGAAAACATCCCTTTTCAGTTTCTAAATAATCAAAAATTTAAAATATATTTAAACTATTTTTGTTATTAAACAAAATTGTACTAAACAGTGGGACAAAGGAGGCTGCTTTCACAGCAACCGCTGTGGCGCCCCGATTGAGGTTTATTTCAATTTTATTTTGATAATTTAAATTGTTCATATTATAAGATTTATCGAATATATTATTTATATAAAAAATGAGGTTAATCAGATATGCATAACCTTATGATCGGACCATAATTAGTTTTTAAAAATTTATCAAAATTATGTTAATAGTTTGTTTTTTTTAAACATAAATGTATTCTTGTTATAAGTTATAAATGTCTAATTGATTTGATTTTTTTGTAGATGGTATATTCGATAAACTCTACGATATGAATTATTCAGATTATCAAAATAGATTTAGAAAACACTTCATACAATGTTGTGCCTAAGGCACAACACCATCACCTGATTCTAACTGTAGTCCATACTCTAAATTAAAATAAATTATAAATAACTCATTTAAGCTGCACTAGATAGACACATTGTATATAAATCATCTTAAATTATAACTCATTTTTCAAAAACTCAACAATTATCTATCTCAAAGTATTATCTTATTCCATTTCGTTAAAATTTTGTTATGAATTTAAACGGAATTAGGTTGCGTGTGAAATTCATGACACATTTATTGATTTTTGAGAATAATAATGCACTTATTTAATGGTCTCATTTGTACTTTGTCTTTCTTATTTTAGTACACAAAATGCAAATAAAATCATTAGATAAGTGTATTATTATCTTAAAAATTGTGTGCAATGTGATTTACAAAAAATCTGCTTATGTAAAAATTCTTAACAAAATTGTAATAACAAAAACCAAATGTAACAAAATTGAAAGATACAAAGTGCAAATTAGTATTAAGATTGTCTCAAATGTTGAATAAAAAATTTCATCAAATTTAAATAAAAACTTGATTTGAGACCGTTCACTCTAATGTTAAAATTAAAATTTTTTATAAATTTTTTTCAAATCTTTGATTGTTCAGAGAGTCGTCCGGACATGAAAAAAAAAAAAATTTTGAGTGGCCATTTGGAAGAATGTCCAACTTTTAATGGTAGCCATTTAAATTTAATGAAAGATGAAAAAATTTCATTCATCTGATGAATTCTCTATTTGATTGTGAAAGAATTAAAATAAGATTCTCTAATAGCTTAAAGAGGTTACTGTCCTAAAGGCAGTGACTTTGGTCTAATTTAAGATTAAATTAGATTGTATTGTTAGATTCGTGAGGGTCTATCATGGGTCCCGTTTTGATAATTTGAACCGTTTAATGTGTAGAACTCGTCGAGTACTATATGCCTATAAAAAATCACGTTGATCGGATATCGATAGCTATGTGAACAAAACAGTTTTTTATCAACCGTTAATTGTTTCACCGTCCATTTTTTTTATACAAAACTGATTTGATCACATAGCTATTGATATCCGATCAACGTGATTTTTTACAAATATGTAGTACTCGACGAGTTCTACACATTGAACGATTCAGATTATCAAAATGAGTCCAAAACATGAGCCCTATAAACCGAACTAAACGATCTAATTTTGATCTCAACTTGAGACAAGCTGAACCCTTTTCTAAAATATTCAAAGAATTCATCGCCTCTTTTGCTTTCTCAGCCACAATTGCCAATGTCAATAACCACTTCTGAACCATGAAGTGAGAGAGAGAAAGAGAGAGAGCCTGCGTCACCAAAACAAGAGACGCACAGGGGCTAATATTAATCCAAATATAGCGCCAAAACATAGACACACACACACCATGCCTTCTCTTGATCTCAAAGAATTTCAAGAGAAGCTCTCCACTCACTTCCGCCCATTGCAACGCTCCTTTCAGTTCTGGGTTCGAGCCGCTGATATCTACACCGGTTACAAGGTCTCTCTCTCTCTCTATATATATGTGTGTGTGTGTGTATGTAGTGGGAATTTCAATGGGTTTTGATTTGATGTTGTTGTTTGAGTTTGTTGTGTGCTTTTAGGTGTTTCAGCTTCGAGTGTGTTTCGAGAAGGATGTGACGAAGCAAGAGGCAATGTGGGAAAGACAACACGAGTTTGCCGCTGAGAAGATATATAACATGTGCTCTGACCTTGGTGGCTTTTTTCTCAAGGTACAATTAATGATTTCACTTCTTATTATGTGGGTTTTTGATTTTGTGCTCTTCAACTTCTTTTCTGGGTGTTGCAAGATGTAGTGTACCAAAGGGGTTTGTTGAATTGTGCACTGTTTATTGGATTTTGCTATTTTTGTTTTAATTCTCCAATTGGGTTTCATGATTTAGGCTCTTTTCAATGTTTTATCTGGTTAATTTTCATGGTATAATCAATGATTGCACTTCTTATTATGTGGGTTTTTGATTTTGTGCTCTTCAACTTCTTTACTGGGTTTTGCATGGTGTAATGCCTAAGGGGTTTGTTGAATTGTGCACTGTTTATTGGATTTTGCTATTTTTGCTTTAATTCTCCAATTCGGTTTCATGATTTAGGCTGTTTTGAGTATTTTATTTGGGTACTCAAGAGACTTGTTATTAATTCTCACGGTATAATCAACGGTTTCACTTCTTATGTGGGTTTTTGATTTTGTGCTCTTTATTTCGTTTCTGGGTTTTGAATGGTGTAATGATGCTAAGGGGTTTGTTGAATTGTGCACATTTATTGTATTTGGCTATTCTTATTTTAATTCTTGAATATTGGGTCTCTCAGATTTAGGCTGTTTTCAATATTTAATTTGGGTACTTGATAAACTTGTTATTAATCTCATGGTTTATTTAATGGTTTCACTTCTTATGTGGGTTTTTGATTTTGTGCTCTTTATTTCGGGGTTGTGAATGGTGTAATGATTTAGGAATTTGTTGAATTGTACACTGTTTATTGGATTTTGCTATTCTTATTTTAATGCTTTGATTGAGTTAACGATTTAACCTGTTTTTAATATTTAATTTGGGTACTGTACTCTAGATACTTGTTATTGATTCTCAACGTATAATAAATGTTTTCATTTCTTATGTGGGTTTTTGCTTTTGTGCTTTTCAACTTCATTTTTGGGTTTTGAGTCATGTAATGCCCAAGGGGTTTGTTGAATTCTGCACTATGTATTGGATTTGGCTGTTCTTTGTTTTAGTTCTCCAATTGGGTTCTGCAATTTAGGCTGTTTTCAATATTTAATTTGGGTACTTGAGTGATTTGTTATCAATTCTCATGGTTTAATCAATGATTTACTTCTTATGTGGGGTTTTGCTTTGGTGCTCTTCAATTTTGTTTTTGGGTTTTGAATGGTGTAATGCCTAAGGGATTGGTTGAGTTGTGCACTGTTTATTAATTCTTCAATTGGGTTTCATGATTTAGGTTGTTTTGAATATTTAATTTTGTACTCTAGAGACTTGTTAATTGATTTGCATGGTAAGATTTTACTTCTCATGTGGGTTTTTGATTTTGTGCTCGTTTTTGGGTTTTGAATGGGTATAAATTAATGCCAAGGGATTTGTTGAATTATGCACTATTTATTGAATTTGACTATTCTTATTTTAATTCTCCGATTGGGTTCACTATTTAGGCTGTTTTGATATTTGATTTGGTTACTTGAGATACTTGATATTGATTGATAGTTTCTGTTTAATGATGTTTATGGTGGAGATTAATTTACTTTGTGGGATGGGGTTTTGGTTTAGGTTGCCCAAATCATCGGGAAGCCTGACTTGGCCCCGGCTGCATGGGTTAGAAGGCTTGTTACGCTGTGCGATCAATCCCCTGCAACCCCATATGATGTCATCCGAGTGGTGCTAGAGAAGGAGTTGGGTCAAAGTGTAGATGGATTGTTCGAAAGATTTGAAGTGAATCCTCTTGGTTCTGCTTCTATTGCACAGGTAACTGAGGTCTCTGACTAGCTCAAAGATTCAATGAGTCATTTGAATCATTTTTAGAAATTTTACTGCTAGAGAATAATTATGAACTTCTATCTTGGCAGAACTGGAGTATTGTTAAATTTTTTGAATAGCTCTGCATAAAATAAAATGTATGGATAAAGTTGAAAACAGACACGAGTTTCTGTCAACATCCATGGATACATTTGTTTCTATGTAAATGCTATGAATCGATGGTATTAAGTTATTAAGACATGTTACCATGAAAATGAATAGTAGGATGCTACAAAAAATGTTTAATTTCTGAGAACTCAATGGTTTGAAGGTAAAGATGTTTAAATGGCATTATGGAAAATTTGATTGTCTCTGATACTAGTGATAGAGCGTCATATATGTGTATGGAAACCTGCCATTCACCAAAATGAAGTTAGATCTCTGGTTATGAACTTAACTAAAATGCTTTTGAGTTCCACAGAAAAATCTTCCTATTGGTTTGAAGAAAATTTGTTTACTGACAAGTGTTACTGAGCTTGATCTGGCAAATATTTTCCTCTCTTTTTTTTATTTTTTATTTTTTACTTTTACTGTTTGGTATTTTTGTAGCTACTTGATATTGATATATTGTAGAATCTGTATTTAGAAAGAGACATTATTAGAAGTCTTTGTAAAAGACAAAACCTTATCAGGACCTGTGTAGTTCAAGGTCATTTTGGTTCCTATCCATTTATTTATAAATTGACAAGACACAAACAGTCATAACTTTCACATGACAAAAGGAAACCTCATCTCAACCTTGTTAAGGGGTTGCTTTCCACAGTGAAGTGATTTAGGATGGAATTTTGTAATAATGCTCGCGGAGAGTTACACTTACACCTTACTTATGTTTCATACTCAATTTAGGTGCACCGAGCGAGATTAAAAGGTGACAAAAGAGATGTTGTTGTCAAGGTAAGGATACTTCAACTTTAACTTTGCTTCCCCTATATGTTTTACAGGTTTAGACTGATATGGTGATGTAGGTGCAACATCCTGGTGTTCAGGAGTTGATGATGACAGATATTCGTAACCTGCAAGCTTTTGCATTATACATGCAAAAGACAGATATCAAATTCGATCTCTTCTCTATAACTAAGGAAATGGAGAAACAGGTGTGCATAACATTTCACCCTGGTATTTTAAATGATTTTGTGGCAACGACTTGTGCTTTCTGTTCATAAAGCCCATTAAACCTGATCATAATTTTGTCTTGCCGAAGAAAAGGGAAAAACGTAAAATTGGAGAGAAAAAAACTGAGGATAAATGAAAATTGGAGAGAAAAAAACTGCACCGAGCGAGATTAAAAGGTGACAAAAGAGATGTTGTTGTCAAGGTAAGGATACTTCAACTTTAACTTTGCTTCCCCTATATGTTTTACAGGTTTAGACTGATATGGTGATGTAGGTGCAACATCCTGGTGTTCAGGAGTTGATGATGACAGATATTCGTAACCTGCAAGCTTTTGCATTATACATGCAAAAGACAGATATCAAATTCGATCTCTTCTCTATAACTAAGGAAATGGAGAAACAGGTGTGCATAACATTTCACCCTGGTATTTTAAATGATTTTGTGGCAACGACTTGTGCTTTCTGTTCATAAAGCCCATTAAACCTGATCATAATTTTGTCTTGCCGAAGAAAAGGGAAAAACGTAAAATTGGAGAGAAAAAAACTGAGGATAAATGTTGAATGTGCTTTACTGTTTTTATCTTGTGATGGGATATTATAATACAAGATCCATCAGTCTTTTGATACCCTACTTGAATAATGTACATGATGATTGAGTGATGCATAATAGTTGTTCAATCAATAAGCCCAATACAGTGCTATTTATTGAATGGAGAGTGTAGGATTATAATCTATTTGAGTTTTTAGATTGAATTCTTAAAGTTACTCTGAGTAAAACTGGACACTATTTGAATATAATATTTTTTTTATTATCTAGGAAGTTTATTTGAATGATGCTGGTTTCTGATATTTCAAATATTTGACGAGTCGACTGAGCACAACTTAGTAGATTTTCCATAATTTGGTTAAATATTTTCAATGTTTTCTATCAATTATATGATAATCGCTTATGGAGGACAGACACATACATGGGCACAGACATGACTAAAAACAGATACTTCAACCCAAAAGCAGTAGGAAGGGATACAATGAGGACACAAATAGATACATGATTATAATATCATATCCATAATCACATCTCATTATTTTCTTTGCAACTACACTTTACTCATTTTCAATTGTGTCTTTTTCATCCTTGATTGGCACTGGCCTATGTTTTTGTCAAGGACAGAATCAGAGAAGTGTTGGCCAAGTGGCCCAAATGATGATGTCTAATTCATTTTGTTGGAATGTCCCAGACATCCGATATGTTTTTATGATTGTTGGAGATGTGTTGCTCTCCAACATGTCAGTATAGAAGTTTCTGTACTATGTAGACCCTTACACTTTGTCTGGGGGAGGATGTCTTGGTGTGGAATGTTGTGGGCGCTAAGGGGTAGTTTTCTGTTTCGTCGTTTTATCGGAGTTTGGTGGGGGAGGTGGGGAAGGACTTTCCTTGGCGGAGTATTTGGGTGCCGGGAGCTCCGTCTAAGATGGCTTTCTTTTTGTGTACGGTTGCTTTAGGACGGAATCTTACGATTGATAATTTGGTTCAGCGTGGTAATATTATAGTGAATCAGTGTTATATGTGTTGTGCTCATGCGAAGTCAGTGGATCATTTGTTTCTTCATTGTTCAATGGCTTCGCAGTTGTGGAGGGCTTATCTGTTTTATCTTTGGGATTGCTTGGGTATAGCCGAAGGGGGTGATGGAGATGCTTTGGAGTTGGAGGGGGGCTCGGGTTGGTCGTCGCCGGCGGTGGGTATGGTTGTTGGTGTCGTTATGTTTGTGGTTGGTTTGGTTGGAACAGAATCGGTGAACGTTTCAAGAGGTTCATCATTGTGTGTCTTGGCTAGAGAGTTGTTTATTAATAGTTTTGTATAGTTGGTTGGAGAGGAAGGTTGATTCGGATGTGTTTGTTTTCTTAGATTTCTTGAATGATGTTATTGGTTAGGTGCTGTTAGTTTTTTTCCTTTGTATGGGGGTGCCTTTTGTATTCTTTGCATCTTCTTGATGCTTTCTCAATAAAGTTTGTTTATTTATCAAAAAAAAAAAAAAAACAAAAAAAAAAGAGAAACTTGGTTTAAAAAAAAACTTGGTTCCTTTCCATTTATTGCTATGAGCCTCTATGCAAAACACTATTAAATTTCAAAATGAAGTCTGATTAATGTAACTTGGTGAGTTCCTGCCAATTCAAAATCAGATTTGGTTCCTCGCCATTTCTCATATCATAACGAGTCAGATGCCTTGGTATAGGCTTTTAAAGGATTAGCTGATGTTTAGAATTGGCCATGGTGCATTAGATATTCAAATGAATCTCAAATAGTCTGTTTCTTACTGCCAAATTCATCATGATTTCTAGGATTGTTGCTTTCTCTAATTATTATGATTAGCATTTTGGAAGTAATGTACATCTTTTTAGAGAAGAGAAATCAAAACTATTTTCCTTACATGAGTGACAATTTATCCACAATGCTAACAAAATGATGTTTTGGTTATATTTATTGTTTAAATGTTCAAAGAGAGGTCTGTGGTTACATTGAACTTCATAATTTTCATTATTTCCTTGATCGCATACGTCCAACTCCAAGTTGTATCAGTGCTAAATGAACTCATATCCAATCCCATTTGTTGGTTGAATTTTATACCGTTAATCGAGTTCTTTCCTGATTTAGTAAATGCAGGCTTTTTCTTTGTGTGAGATTTTATCAGAATCAGATCATGTTTTTGGATGATAATCTGGTTTTCATTTCTATCATTCAAGATCGGGTATGAATTTGACTTCAAGAGAGAAGCTGATGCTATGGAAAGAATTAGGCATTTTCTACATGAGAACAATAAAAATTCTCCTGTTATGGTGCCAAGGGTGATACGGAATATGGTCACTAGGTATGTTATGCCATATTTCGTTTTCCTCTAGCTTGCTCTGCAGAATTAACTAGGACCTAAATATTTTGCATTGTTGTATTGTAATTATGAAACTTTTTAATACTGAACCTTGTTAAATGGTTGGAAAGAGGTATTTTATGCCCCTGTGGGAATTTTAATATTACACTTCATTTGATAATGATAATTGCATATTTACTTACAACTTAGTGACTTTGTTTCTGATTATGTCACTTTTGGTTGCCTATGGTATTTAGGTTAGTTTGATTTGAGCGATCTTCATGCAAGTGTCTAGAATGTTCAATCCTCCAGTTGGCTGTTTATTTGCTGAGAGCTTAAATTAATGCTCAAGAATATGATCTTTGAAGGGTATAATATAAAAACAATTCATGATTGTGCCTTTGTTCTATTTTCTACTGTATGAATGAAGAAGCCAAGTCTCTTCTTTGTGAAAAAGGATTTTCGTCAAATTCAATGTAGGATATTGGCCGAGTTTAGTTCGAGGATTTGTGAATTGGCTTTTTCTTGTCACATTGTTTACTTTTTGTCAGAATTGATAACTGCAGTGCAATATAGTTTGATTGAATACACAAACACACTCTGAAAGGAAAATGTTATCATGTGCATGAACAAACAGACACTTGAATATGAAGGCACACTATGATCGCTGCTCTTCTCGCTTTACATACTCAACTTAAATAGGTAAAACAGTGAGAAAACATTTGCATGTTAGAAGGTGCTAAAAACAGTGGAACAGGGTAATAATGTAGTTAGTAAGAAGAGATGTAAATGCTCATGTTTCATCTGAAAGAAAAAAAAAAAAAAAAAAAGAGAAAAAGAGAAAAAATTATTGTTAGGATGAAGTGGCAGAGGAGACTACTTTAGTTTAAATTTCAAAAAATCAGAACTGGAAAACTGAGAGGATGTGAATTTCACTAGTAAGAGGGGATGATTTGTTCATTTATTTCTCTTTTGGGGGGAAGAATACATTAGAAAGAAGATATTTAGATTTTTATTTTTCATCCAGAAAATATGATGTCTGACAGGATGGAGTGGCAGAGAAAAGTATGTAGTTAAATCCCAAAACTTAAGGTCGGATGTGTTATCATTATGATGTTTTGGACAAGCATTCATTCTGCTGACTGGAAAGTTGGAAAAAAGCACTGTGGATTTGGAAATATTCTCTGAAAATATTAACAATAACATGGTTGCAGAGGATGAACATGAGAATCGTTGGTATAGGCTCTCTAGTATAGCACCCTACTCTTTCACTGTTTAAAACATTGGTTAGATTCTCCTACTGTATTTAATGGTCTTGGACTCTGCAATTAGATTGATTATAAATTCCCAAATTTACTTTACTTTTTTAGCTACAGATGCTGGCTTATGTGTTCTTGCAGTGAATTTAACTTTATTTTTTTAGCTACTGATCTGCTGGTTTATGTATATTTGTGATTCTGCATCACTTCATTGTTGATGATTCTGGAAGCACTTTTTACTTTACCTCGCGGTAATTAAATGTGTTTCATTGTTTTGTTAGGAGGGTCTTAGTAATGGAATATATTGATGGAATCCCAATTCTAAAGCTTGGAGATGAAATAGCTAAAAGAGGCATAAATCCTGGTGGTAAGATCGCAGCTGCGGCAAAGAGGTAAGCCCATTGATTACCTCAGAGAGTATGAAGTCCTTTTCTGCCAATTTTTTTCTTGTCATAATCCCCATTTTTATGCAAAAAGTTCATATCATCTACTTTAAATCCATAACTTACTAGCTTATATCTTAGTTTCTTCTTTTCCTAGATTGGTAGACTATTTGCTTAATTCCCATCCTTTGAGCCAGTTTGGTGCAGCTTTTGGAGTTGCTTATAACTTATTTTCTTTTATTTTTTGAAAATCTGTGCCAGATCGTTTGGTGGGTGTGGCTTTTGCTTATAGCTTATGAGACAAAAAAATAGCTTAAGTAAGTTTAAAAAAACTGATTATGTGAAAGGTATGTAATGTGTGCCTTTAGCTTCTGCTTTTTGATTATCAATTTTCACCTTGAGAAAAGTTGTACCAAACAGGCCCTTTATTCCAGTCATTAATCTACCTCTTCAAATTTTCTTCCTTAGGTTGTGTCAAGAAGCAATTTGTAGGATGAATAACTTCCAACAGCCACATCAAATCATGGTAAAAACTTACATGGCCACTAGGATAAACTTTTTCTTTCAATCAGCTAGAAGAACCCAATTACATCTAGGGCTAGTTAAGCTGTAAGAAATTTTGGGCAGTTTTCCACAAGATGAGGTGCTTTAATATGTTATTGTAGAAGTGTGAGAGAGGTATTCAAACATGTGAATGGCCTCATCTTTCAGGATTTCTTTTTTGAATGCAAGTATTGCCTGGTATTGTAAATACCCCTGAGATGGATCCTTACACCTTCATCTTTATTAGTAAACGTGCTTGCTTTTTCTAGGTACCTTTTCTGACATTGTCTAGGCAAATTTCATGATAATATTCAAATGACAAACTAAATTGCACAAAAAACCCTAGACCAAGTGTTAAAATCCACCTACTCTCCACCTACTTCACCCACTTAAACCTACTCCACTAAACCTAACCCACTACACCACTACCACCTCACCTACTCCACTAAACCTAACCCACTACACCACTACCACCTCCACTTCACCTACTCCTTACCTACTACACACTCACCCTCTTCTATATATAGGAATCATGAATCATTGTAATAGAAATCAATAAACATCAATCAATAATACATAAATTTTTACACCAAGGGAAATCATTTCACCTTGAATGTGGTATCCTCTCTCAAAAGGCATCTCCACAGCTTCCTTCTTCTTGTACTTTGCTTTTCGTTATTGGCTATCCTTCAACAACAATGCCATAATTAGATGAAAGCATAACGCTCTTACTAAAATATCTCAAATGCAGGAACATCCTTAAAAGTTTGGCAGTTGCTTATGGACAAATGATACTGAAGAGTGGTTTCTTCCATGCAGATCCCCATCCTGGAAATATTCTGATCTGTAAAGGTTCCGAGGCAAGTAGGCAACCAAACTTTACTACCTTAAAACATTCAACATTGCTTCCGTCTTCCCAACCTTTTCTCCTCTATACCTTTTCTTTTAATGGGTAATAGTCTGAGTTCTATTCTCAAATTAGTGATTATAGTTGTTTGGTTTCAAACTAAAAAACTGTTTTTGAGTTTTTGTGATTCTTTTTGTCTTTAGCAAACTTTTTCCATAGTTTAGTCAATTTTTTTTTTAATGTGTTTTAGATGCACCTAATTTTTTTTTTGACTAATATATAAAACAAGTTCACTAAAGACAAACTCGAAAAACAAAAAACTCAAAATCAATTTTCAAAAACTAAACCAAATAACACTATAAGATGATTTAGCAAAAAATTCGATCAAATACTTGGTTGCTTCACATTTCAATATCATTTATCGCCATGTTTGTATTCTAATATCTAAAATATTGTAGAAATTTAATGTATAAAGAGAAATAGAGAATTGTATTATTGATTGATTTATATTGATTGATATATAGTTATGGTTACAATGATTCCTACATATAGGAGAGGGTGAGTGTGTAGTAGGTGAGGAGTAGGTGAAGTGGAGGTGGTAGTGGTGTAGTGGTTTAGGTTTAGTGGAGTAGGTGAGGTGGTAGTGGTGTAGTGGGTTAGGTTTAGTGGAGTAGGTTTAAGTGGGTGAAGTAGGTGGAGAGTAGGTGGATTTTAACAAATATGCATCTTCCTGTCATCCCTAATCAGGTTGCCTTGCTTGACTATGGGCAAGTGAAGGACCTTCCAGACATTTTAAGGCTCGGATATGCTAATCTGGTTATTGCTATTGCTGACAATGATGCTGTAAGGGCATCAGAGAGCTACAGGTAGTAAATTTTACCCATAAATTCCTTGTTTATATACTAAAATCTAAGGTCAGTGGAATTGTGATGATAAGCTACTATTTTGAGGATTGTATGTGGTAGTCACACACACACACAAAATAAAACAAAAACAAAAAGAAACAAAAAGGAAGAAGAAAAGAAAGAGAACGAAAGAAAAATGGGGGTGGGGAGGGGGGCGAGTTCTATTAATCCTGACTATTATATGCATGTGTTGTAGCTATTCAATTGACTGAAATGGGTTGATTTTTTTTCACCCGAGGTTTGGCTTTAGTAGAGATACCTTCCTAACATTTTGGAAATTGCAATGACCCCCTTGTCAGAATTTGTTGGTTTACCCCCTTAATAGAAAAATTAAAATGACTTTAATGCCTTTGCTTGTTGGTGCCATTGTCGCGATTCATCAAACAAGTTAATTGATGATGCCAGCAATTGGTGTTAGCACCTAACAATTAGTTAACGGAGCGGGCAAACTGTAATGAGATTATAAATTTTAGGGAGAAAAATGTAACTTCTAGAACATCAGGGAGGTATCTGTATTAAAACGAAATCTAAGGGGGTGTAGGTGTAATTTACCCTTATTTTTTAATATCACTATTAATTATATTGGGTTTGAGTGGTGTTTGGATTGTATTCAATTATTAGGGAGCTGGGCATACATACCTTAATCAATTGTAAGGATGGACAAAAGGAAATGCTTAAGTTGGCACAGACAATGTTTGATACGAAGCTACCGCCTGGTGTGAAGATGTTGCAACCTTTCTCCGAAGAATCTTCAATAAAAAAAATTGCTGTTCAGGTATGCATTATATTCCTTGTATTCATTAGCCATGAGGTATGTGATATCTCCCATTTTCCTGTACTTTGGGCATTCCACCAGAAGCACATTAAGGTGTCATCATTTGCTTATATGATTGTGTTAGGTTTTATGTGTGTCATGTGTTATCTTAGTCCAAGGGGTATTTGTGTACTTTGGGTCTTACTAATATAAATATTAGTCTAAGAGAACCCTAATTCAGAAAGGGTCTCTATATTAGCTGTACATTGTGTTCTCTTATCTTGCTCTTTCTCTTCCTTATTTCTTTTCTACGGTAAATCTAATAGATTGTTTGTTAGTACACAACATCAATGGTTAACATTTCTATGCCATTTTATGGGTATATGGGTACATCACATAGAAAGGAAATTATTACTTCTGCATAGCATTGAAAACTAGTTTGTGGTGTTGCTATATTAGAAATGAATATTTTTATTTGTAAAGATGTTATGGTTGTTCGGTTTTGTTTTGATTTTCTATTTTTATTTCCTGAACAACACAAAAACTTGTTTGGTGAATTGTTTTGTAAAATTATTTTTTGAAAGACTACCCATTTTTCGGAAACACCAAAAATTGTGTTTTACTTTTCAAAAATTATTTTCACACAATGAAAACAGTGGGTTGTTTTGAATTTTTCATTGATTTTTTTTTTTTTCCTTCTTTTTTTCCCCTAAAAGAACCCACAGCCAAACATTCACATTATTGGTTAAGACTTCTTAGGAAATATATTCAGCCATATTTAGGGTGAATGACATTTGTTCTAGTAATGCGGTTGTGCATATTTGAAACTGTTTTATTTGCTTATAGCAAGAAACATTGTTAAAAGACAGTAAAAATTTGATGACTGGGTTGAACTTGGTGAGAAGTCTAGACACGAATTCTTCATGCCACTATATTCCTTGGTGTAATGAAACTAATTTCCTTATTTTGTTATGGAAATGTTAGGCTTTTCCAGAGGAACTGTTTTCTGTTCTTCGCACGGTGCATCTTTTGAGAGGACTTAGTGTTGGTCTAGGAATCAACTACTCATGTGCCGAGCAGTGGAGACCAATTGCAGAAGAAGCATTGTATCTTGCTGGCAGACTAAAAGGTAGCTCTTGTTAACTCTTGATATTGAATCATTGAGAGGCCAATATGTTGTCCGATATTAAAATTATTCATCTGTGCTGTTGTTGACATGGCTGTTGAAATTTGTCCAATTTTCTTTTGTTTTTTTCCTCCCTTCTCTTCATGTGTGTGTGGGATATGTTGCTTAGAAATTACGAGGCTAGCCTATTATTGCTCCTCTGATATGCTGTCTATGGATTCCTTCTACCACGATCAATTACCCTGACCTCTCCTTATGAAAGAGAGTAGCTGATACTGCTAAGCTACCCATGCGCCACTTTCTTAAAAATGTGTTTTCTTATGAATGCGTGTGCAAGCAATTGTGTGGGTGTGGTACATTATTATGAAGTAGAGAAATTTTTTAGCTTGGGTGCTGCCAATAGCTCTTATACAATTTCTTTGGATCCCATCCACTTAATTTCGAACTCTATAAAGTTTCTTTGGACCCTCTCTCAAACCCTAGCCGCCGCCACCACCTCCCTTAGCTCTAGCCACCTTCCCCTCCCCTTTCCATCCTTCGGCGTCACCTCCCAGCCCCCACCTTTTGGTAGAGAGAGAGAGAGAGAGAGAGAGAGAGAGAGAGAGAGAGAGAGAGAAATTGTGAAGGGGGGGTTTGCAGAGTGGAGGTTTTCGGTGGTGGGGAGCCTTCGTGAACGGCTTAGAGAGGAGGGGTGGTGTGTGCAAGGGCAAAGGAAGGTGGCTGGAGTTGATGGAGGTGGGTGGTGGAGGTAGGGATAGAGATGAGGGCAAAATTGAAATTTTATTTTAAGGTAAAATTTTGATAAATTTTTTTTTTTTTTTTTTGTCTCCAAATAGTGGGGGGTCCAAAGAAATTCTTGGGGTGCTATTAGCAGCACTCTTTATCATTATTATTTTTTGTGTAATTTATTTTTTTCCTGATTAATAACGATGACTTGAGTTTGCTGCAATACTCTTTTATCTTTGTTTTGCAAGGACTCTAATTCCATGGGGGGTGATTCTATTTACACACCAATAATACTCTTAGGTCATGTTTGATTCACAAGACTAATAGTGAAGTATTAATAATCTCATTAAATTAGTGTAGTATTCACTATCCAATTGGATTAATATCCATTGGATTAATAATTCCACCCCTACCCCATTATTAATAATCTTACAAATTTGTTGGATTAATTATCCGTTGGATTAATTATCCTAAACCAAAATGTTAAAACAAACATAGGATAATTGGGCTCATGGATTAATAATCTCAATCCATGCTCTAATCCACCCAATCAAACATGCCCTTAGTACATACCATTAATAAATTAAATTTGTATTTCAATAATATCCTCCAATGAAATGACGATTAAGGACAACAACTGGTGTATTCTACCCATTCAAAAATTTCATATTTAACAATACAAAATACTCTTCACACACCATCATTCCTATAGGATTTAAGGTTTTGACATAAACCAAACCAAACCAAACTAAGCTTTAAGCCCCATCAAATGGGGTCGGCATTTTAAGTTTTGACATATAAATATTATATTTCTTCATCATCTTCACCATTAACATACACTTTTGATATCATTCATTATCAATTTGCTCACTTCATTCTCTTCTCCATTATACTTATTTTTCAAATTCAAAACATTATTACCTCTGAAGATTTAGGGTTTAAGAACATTAAAATCAATTAGATTTGAAGATTTACACACCATGGATGACACTAAGATGGTTGGTTCCAATATAAATATTGAAAACGTTGCTTTGAACATTGAAAATGTTAGTTTATGACTTAGTTTTTTGATTTTTTATTCGTCTTGTTCGTACGTTGGGAAGATGAGTTTGTTCGTTGTATTCGGATAATTAGAGTTGAATTTTTACACAATGTTCGATTATTTATATTTGAACAAAACAAATTTGTTCAAATTATTAAGATTGACAAAATATTAAATGTTCAAACATAAAAAAATGAACATTTTAAGTTAGTTCAGTTAAAAAAAATTAAACTTTTATTCATTGTTCAAATATAAATTTTTGAACACATTAAGTTTATTCAACTCTGTATTTATGAACATGACTAATTTGATAAATTCGAGACGACAATGAGAGATGAGAGTTCAATACCGACAATGAAGATCCAACACCGGCGAAGATGGAGGCCAAATGAAACACTTTGCCAATGATTTGAACCGACGAGACGACGAGATGAGACACGACGAGAGTTCAACCCCAACTATGGAAATCAACACCGGTGAAGATCGAGACTGAATGAAACCTCCGTCGGCGATGGAGATCAAGACCGATGAAGATGGTTTCTGTTAGTCTCTATTCTGAAGATTATGGGGGTTTTGTTGTATATAGTGGTGAAGATGAATATTTTTTGGTGTGTGTAATGGTATGTATTCAAATAGTTAGTGGTGTGTTAATATAGGGTTAGTAATGGAAAGTTAAGGTGTGAACTCAGATTTTTTAAATCTTAAAAATTATTTTGTGTGTGTACTAAGTAGTGGGGTGTATTGAGAGTATTAGTGGTGTGTAAATAGAATCATCCTTCCATGGGACATTTGAATGCTCCCTTATTCTATAAATCCGTCTTCAATTACTGAACATGTTCATAATATTTTCAAAAACGCTATTGTTTCAGGTAATGATCTCAAGACTGTAAAACGTAGACATGGTCTCTTCAAAAGAATATTTGGGAGAGTGGTGGGATTGTGAAGACTGAATATATGCAAGCATGAATCGACCTGGAAGTCTTATGGTGTTCCAATTCTATTGTTCGTTCTCTGGTAAAGTACAGATCGGTCCTTTGGTAATTGTTTGATATGAAAATTTGCAAAGTAATTGGAGAGTCATTTTCATCCTTCATTTTCAATTAACACAAGTTGGTTTGTAGATTGTGCTTTTATGTATATCAGAAGAATGACATTGCTAATTCATTAGCACAAGCTATTCTTGTAGCTTTGTGCTTTTATTATGCAAATATTAAAACATTTGGCATGGCATTGTAAAATACAACCATTCATTCTTTTAACATTTTGATCTCGAAGTATATCTTCATTCTTTTGACAATTGTTCAATTCTCTGCAAGATACACTGATTGATTTTCAATAGAACAAGTATGCAAATTAGGTTTTGATTTTTTGGATGTTGTGCAAAGTTGAAATTTGATTTTAGTTCAAGGGTAAATTAGACTTTTCACCTTACACTAGTTCAACTTTGTGACAATTTTTTATACTTTTGGTCAAGTTGTAATATGAACTTTCTGTAGATTGACGTTGAAATATCAATATAGAGCTTGAACACCAAGAGAATTGTAACTTATGTTAGTTGTTTATGACTAGTCCTTAGGTCAGTCTAGTTTTATCCTGATTTTCCACTAACATCTCTTCTGGGAATTGGCTTTTTTGGTGATTTATTTGACTTTTTGATGATAGTGCCTCTCACTGCCCCCATCTCTAAAGGGCTTATGTGTTTTTTTTGAGGTGGGACAAATTAATGGGTTTGATAATGACTTTTTTTAATTGTATTGAAATTTGTGAATTATTGGGATGTTTGATTTTTTTAAGTAGTTTTTTAACTTTTTAAAGTGATTTTATGACTTTTTTTTTTCTTTTATTATTATTATTATTATTGTTGTTGTTGTTGTTGTTGTTGTTGTTGTTGTGTGGCTATTTTAGTTAAAAAATTCAAGTTGCAGGGGCTAAGTTTCAAAATGTAACCACCAAGGAAGAAAATTACTAAGGGCACTTGAAAGGAAGCAAAACTTAGTGGAAAATGTATATCATGCTAGATGTATTTTTGGTAATAAATTGAAATCAATGACCGGAATTTATTTTCTAAAGTTTCTGTTTGTTTGAGTTTTCAAAATTTGTTTTTAAATTTATTTTTTTTGTAAAACTAAAGATTAATTTGACAAACAAAAAACATATTTTAAAATTTTATAAAAATTACGTTCGTCTAAAAAAGAAAAAATTATATGAAAATAATTGATGTTTTTCAATTTTTTTCTCTACCAAACTAATTTTTGAAAATCTTTTAGAAAATAGATTTGAAAATTCAACCAACCAAACAGAAGTCCAACAAAATCAAGTTTGAAAAGTTTAAGGTTATTAATCGTACCCAACATTTTTTCCCCTTAGTAGGGGATAACTAAAAAAACGGTCATTTTATTAGAGTAAAAAATATTGTAGAAAGTAACGAAAGAAAAGTGAAATTTATTCATTTATTTATTTTTGACAAAGTGAAATTTATTTTCTTTGTATACATTTACTTGGGATGAATTTTTTGTGTGAAAAGGCTGCAAGTAGATGGAGAAGCAAGATAAATAGTTGGCTTTTCACGAGTAAACCACAAAAAAAAAAGAAAAAAAGTATTTTTCTAAGGAAAAATGAAGCCAAGTTATCATGTTAAAACATCTCTAACGATCCATTAAATATTTTATTAAATTTGAGTAAAAAAAAAGTATGTATTCAAAACACAGATTTCTAACTTTATTCTACCCTACCATTAGAGATTGAAAGAAAACTAGAACTAGTGATTACTCAACACAAATCAGCATTATTTATTCCTTAGCTTCATTGGTTTTTTCTCCATCTCTTACCTTTGCTGATTCCCTGGCTTCAGCCTTCATTGGTATCCTTCAAAATCTCTTCTTCCTCGAATTCCTTTGCACTGCTTGACATTGCTCGTGTGGACATTTTTCAAATCTTCAATCATTCCTTCTTGGTCAGTGCTTTTGCCACTCTCCTCCACATGCAAATCTTCCTCAGCTTTTCCAAAACTCTCCACCCCATCTTCTTTGGTAGCCCTTTTAGCTTTCTCCACTGTTTCTACTTGGCTTCTGTAATGATCTTGAGAAGTTCTGGAGGCATAGCTGCTATATCAAGCTCCAGGCAACCCTTGGATTATCTGATTTGCATATATGTATTGATCAATTTGCTTTTCTGTATTGGAGAATTTAGTTTCTATTGTTTGTGAAAGTCTTCTTTAAATTAAAGTGCCTCATTGGAGGTTGTCTCAAATCATGATTTTTTGAACCAACAAAAAAAATAGGTCAAAAAAAGATGCAGAGGTGGGCTTCGGGGGTCAACCGGGGGGTTGACTAGGCGGTCGACCAGTCAATATAAATTTTTCACAAATTATGTCTTGAGATAGTTATGTGGGGAGACATCCTGCTAGATGTCCAGTGGATCCACACTCAATGGTTATGCACAGTAAATTGCTGAAAGGTGCAAGACATCCCCAGTTCGGTAAAAGATTTAGAATGTTCTTAATTTGATACAAGTTTGATAAAACCATTAGAAACAAAAAAAGAGTATACTTTTTCACCAAATTTGAATTTGGTAATAAATTTGGTTAAACACTGGAGATGGCCTTAATGTGTAATATTGAAAATTTTACTTTTTTTGCACTTTTCACCATTTTTATGTGCTAAACAAATGCAAAAATAATAAAGCGCAGTCTCTCTCTTTCATCCTAACCAAACTCACCCTAAGCCCCATCACTGCCAACACATTTCTGATGGAATTTTTATGCAACCCGTCAATCAGTAGGAGGGAAATAGGAGAAAGGAAAACTGCATCAGACAACAAGAAGTAAAACTCGAACCCAAACATTACTAGGACATCACATTAAACATGTCATCCACTGGACCAACCCTTGGCCTTTCCGATGGAAGTTTAACGAGTTCAAAAGTTGCAGTTCAAATGACAGACAAAAGGCCTGGAGTACTAGAGTTACCCAACTTCTCTAAGGAAATTAGTGGTATGCCAACTACATGAACTGTTATCAATCATAGTGCTTCAAATCATATGGAATGAATTGATCTCATTGTACATATGGTTGAAAGAAATCTCCAAAACTGATTGAATCTACAAGATGGTTAACACATCACTCCACCAGCCATGGTGCTTGAGCCGGTGTCCATTCACACAATTCACCTTCCTTAAACCAGAGATCTGCAGTGAATTTTATAATGTCAAAATTGAAAGTTTGTGTATGGGAACTTATTGTCTTAATCCAACAGTCATGCAAAATTGTATGGAAAAGTTATATAACACCCTGCTACTATTTCAGAAATTTTCATCCTATGGTGGTGTTAGGGATTTCATTTGGAAAAATATCAAACAAATCTTACTTTTCCCATAAAATTTTCATCCTCACAGGTAACTCGCCTCACTGGTTTGTGCCTTTGGGTTCTTAACCTACAAGGCACCTCCACAATGGAGGTGTCTTGCGTCATCTTATAAGTCCATCCTGGTCAGCTTTCACAACCGATGTAGGATGCCAACAAGTCCTATTAACACTACGTTGAAAGAGCTAATCCATGTGTAAATAGGACTTAAATGAAAATTCTATGGAAAAAATTAAACTTACTGGGAATTTTCACATTTCATTTTGGTGCTCTGTTAGGAGTAGTAATGGTAGAGGATGAAAGGGCATGAGTGGTGGTATTGATTATGTTTATAATAACAAGGGTTAATGAAGTGTCATAGACAGTTTTTTATTTTATTATTATTGTGTCACAACTTTCACTACTATAGACTAAGATGAAAAAGAATAACATAGGGAAAGTGCATTTTCGCAAAATTTGAATAAAAATAATGAAATGAAAGAACATGTGGCGAGACTGAGGCTTTGGTTATGATGGTGTGTTCAAGCTCAAAGTACAAGAAAAGTTTTTTATTTTTTTTATTTTTTATTTTTAATTAATAAAAAGACAAGTTAAAAAAATAGTGGACAAATGAGAAATACTTAAATTCAATTCAAGCTCAAACCAAGGAGATAACCATCATGAGATCATTCCAAGATCAGAACATTTTGTGCTGAATTTAATTCAATGATTGACATCAAAGCATCAAAGACTTCACCTATTTCACGCTTGCCGTTCTCAGGGCTGTCACTTCCATGAACCACATTCCTGCCAAAGGAGTTTCATAAGACCTCATGTCTCTACAGTTTAATTGCTCTCGGAAACAAATTTGATACTTCATGATTCAATGCAACATAGAAGATATAGAAATATTGAAAAACATAATTTCAAAGTACAATCAAGAGGCCCCACCTTCCCATTTGAACAGCAAGATCCCCTCTGATTGTGCCTGGTTCAGCTTGAAGAGGATTTGTTGCCCCTATTAGCTTACGAGCTGATGCAACAGCGCCAACGCCCTCCCAAGCCTTTGCCAAAACACAATAACCCAATGTTCCTTAGAAAATCATAAATCAATAGGAGTATCTTGGATTGATCTATTCCCATGAAAAAATCGAGGAGAATTATACCATACACACAACGGGACCAGAGGTAATGTAATTGATCAGTTTGGGGAAGAATGACTTGGACTTGAGATCCTTGTAATGCTCCTAGAACCCATTAAATTTAAACAAAAGTACAATAATTAGCTCAAAGATATACTCTTTTTATTACAAGATACGGCTATACTATTGTATCAAGGGTATAAGTATAACTCTTTTAGTCCGTTCGGTGTCCTTTGTTATGTCCATTTTTCTTCTTCTTCTTCTTGGTTTAATAATGCAATCGGCAATATGGGATAAGTTTCGATTGTATAAAAAAGTCCCTTCGGGACGTCCAATAAAATTGGAACAATACAGAGAAGATTAGCATGGCCCCTACACAAGGATAACACACAAATTGAGAAATGTCCAAATTTTTTACTTATCAAGAAAAAAGTCAATTGAATGGAGCGAAAGCAACCACTTCGAGGTAAGCAACAATGCATACATAGGGCATATTACATGCTCTGCATATCCAGTTAAAGAACAAACACAATGACTTGAATTATATCATGCTCTAATTCCCATAGAACAACTTACACAGTTACATACTTCAATTTCCCAAAAATACATGAATTTTTTCTCAGACCCAAATGAAGATTACTACAAACACACAACAGAATCAATGTAATTCAAACTAGATATAAAAAAAATCCAGACATGGGTTTTCTTTGTCAATATCAAAAAGCACAAATAAAAGTAAGGATTTTCAGAGCACAGACCTCAGCCAATTCTTTAGGGCATTGGAAGAGCTTCAAGGCTGTTAGCTTAAACCCCTTCTTCTCAAACCTAGAAATCACCTCTCCAACCTACAAAAATTCAAACCCATAAAAAGAAAATTGCAAACACACCAGCAAAACTCAATTGTAGTGCTAATTCTGCTAAAAATGTCTCAAAATTGAATCAGATTGAGCTTACGAGACCACGTTGAACCCCATCGGGCTTAACCATGACGTACGTCTCTTCCACTTGTTCCTGAAAAATCAAGACAAAAATGAGAGGTGAATTCAATTGGGTTTTGAGTAATTTTTGCAGAAATCGAGAGAGAGAGAGAGAGAGAGACCATTGAAGCAATCAAGTGGGGGAGGAAGATGTGGGTATTCTTGAGGGTATGGGGACGAGATGGGGAATGAGAGAAGAGATGGGACGGAGAGTGAAATGCGGCGAGGTTGTGGTGGTTGAAGCGTAGGTTGAGATTGTGAGATAAGCTGTTTTTGCTTCTTCTTCTATCGGCTGCTGATGATCGAAAGCGAGAAGATGATGAAGCACATGATGGACTTCCTCCATACACAGCTAGAGCTTCCATTCTCTCTCTCTCTCTCTCTCTCTCTCTTCCCCTCCCTCGCTCGCTCTGTGTGTGAGTAAGGATTAAATTGCAAATTTTATAATTTGAACTTGAAGAAGGGCAATTCTGGCCCCAAACCTGACTATTTTAGTTGGTTTTTGTTTGTTTGTTTGTTTTTGTTTTATTATTTGTTTATTTATTTTTGACTATTTTATAAGATGAAAAAAGTTATATATGAGATAATTTATAATTTTTTTAATAGTTGAATAGATGATTGTGAGAGGAAAAGTGATTAATTGATATGTAAGGGCATCTCCAATGGTTCACCAAATATTTTCATCAAATATGAGTAAAAAAATGACAAATTCCTCTATTTGATATCGACTGCTCCAACGGATGGATATGACTTTTCATCAAATCACCGGTCGATCGAGCGGATGACTGACTGGTTGACCAGTCACTGCAAAAAATAAAAAAAACAACAATTGAATTGTTTATTATAATAATTATGAGAGAAGAGAAGCATTGTTTGGTTGGGAACTTCGGAGTTACAGAAGAAGAAGAACAATAAGAACAAGATAAGAGAGAAGGTCCAAATCACCACCACCATTGACACTGAAGCTCCTTATCTCCTAGTGAGATTTGGGCGATGTAACTAAAGGAAGATTTCTTTTCTTTTTCTTCCCAAATGAAAGCACCTCTTCCATTTCATTAGCATCTCTCTCTCTCTCTCTCTCTCAAATTCAAACAAAAGATGATAGAAATATTCAATTTTAGGAATGGTCTCAGGTTCTAAATATGGGTTTGTTCGTAGAAGATCTAGAGATAATTCTAATTTATTCTTTAGCTTTGAGATTGAGAAAACTCTAGCGTCAAAAATGAGAAAGAAACATAAATTTCATTTGTTCATTTCCATTTTTGAAATAAATTCAAATCACAATCTCTTATCTTTGGTAAGCATTATTTTCTCGGTTGCTAAACAGAGGAGGAGGAGGAGGAGAAGAAGATTGGGGAAGAGGATATCAGATTCTCAGTCAGAGGAGGAAAGTGAGAAATTTACAATTCCCAATAACATGGATAGAAATCCAAAAAAATTAACCCAACAATGAACCCAAAAACATTACAAAATGAAGATTAAATTTTGAAACAACTATACCTGAAATAGAAAAACAAGATGCAAAATCAATGACATATGTGACACTACGGACCATTTTTGTATTACCTGAAAGCTTCAACTTGCTTGAAGAAAAAGATAATCTCTGTTTGATAGCAGATTTAAAAAGTGAATTCAGAGGAATCTTCGATTTTTTGTGTCTTGAGATTATAATATTCAAATGAATAATGTTTGGTAGCTCGAGGATTTTGCCTCCCGAATCCCCCTAATGCCCAAAACGACGTCGTTTTGGGCATTAGGTTTTTTTTTTTTTTTTTCTTCTTCCATTTCTGATCTGAAACCGATCTGAGAAGAAGAGGGGAAGAGGGAGAGGGAGAGGGAGAGGGAGAGAGAGAGAAGAAGAGGGGAAGAGGAGCAGCTGGTGGTCGTCGCAGCTCCCCGCCGTCGTCGCAGCTCCGACTCGCCGTCATCACCTCGCCGCCAGCTCGTCGCAGCAGCAGCTCCAGCTCCAGCTCCGGCCGCCGTCTCCGCCTCCGCCTCCGGCCCTGCCTCCTCCTCCCCTGTTATTAGGCCCCCTCCAGTCCTCCTCCTCCTCCTCTCCTCTCCTCTCCTTCTTCCTCCTGATTTCTGCTTCTGAAAAAAAAAGAAAAGAAAATCGGCAACGTTTTCGATTAGGGGGATTCGAGCTACGTAGTTTTCGAGCTACGTAGCATGACTGTATTCAAATTGATATGTTGATTTCTAAGAAATCGAGAACGTTTGAATTGTCGGGATTCATATTCGATTCCGATCTTACAAAACCCAGAAATTGATCTCCTAGTTCAGATGTCATCTAAAAACTGTTTCAACGTCTCTTGGAAATGCACCTGTCCAACAAAAATTGAGTTAACTACGACGCAAGAAAAGAAAAACAACTTGTTAAAGTTCATTCTCTGGTAGCCATTAGCACTCACTCACAAGTAAACGGATGATTGGGTGGACATCCGGTGCCCAAAAATAATAGTCCTAAATAGTGAAATGCTAAAAGGTCCCAAACGTTCTCAATTAGGTGCAACATTTTTGATATTCTTGATTTGATACGTATTTGGTGAAATCGTTGGAGCAAGAAAAAAAGGAACTTTTCACCAAATTTGAATTTGGTGATGGATTTGGTACACAATTTGAGATGGCCTAAGGTGTGACATTTTATCTTATTGGCTATTTTAGTCTTTTTTTGGTCTTTATTAGATATTTTAGTGAGAGAGTTGCTAAATGCCCCTACTTTTTTACTTTGGACTCCCAACTTCTTTGAACCCTTACCACCAAAATTGTTCCATTCTTCATTTTTGTTTGTACCCCTACCATAATCCCACATATACGCTCACTCCAATAGTTTGTCTCTTTTCTCTCACTTCACCGGTCCCCCAACCGTAACCCACTTTGGCTGACGACCTCATCTGCCATCATAGCCTCTACCGGCAGCTTTCCTGTCGTCGTACGTTCACTTCAAGACCAGACCCACCACCATGACCTCTCATTCATCCACCATTCTATACCAACCTCTATCATCATCACTTCCCTTCATCCCAACGAGGAGTGAGAGAGTCTTCTCCATCTAGTCTCATCGACCTCTCTCTTCGTTCTTCCACTTTTTACTTTACCCTTCTCTCTCTCTCTCTCTCTCTTCTCTTCTTCTTCTCCCAAAATCCTAACAGTCGAACAAATCCCTTATGTTCAACACTGTGCTACTAAACCAAAAGGATTAATTCAACACCATGTTTCCGAATCCACTACTCTATCGTGACCTCCCTATCTATTGTGAGAGAGAGAGAGAGAGAGAGAGAGAGAGAGAGAGAGATGAAAACCTAAGGTTTTTAGAACAAGAAGATGGAGATGGAGAAGGGAGGCAACGAGAGATATGGGCGATGAAGAAGGGTTAATGGTGGTAGGGTGAGGCGGAGAGGGGCTCTATAGCAGCAGATAGGGGTCACGGAGAAGGGTTGGGTCGTTAAGGCTAGCAGTGATGAGCTAGCCAGTGGTGGGTGGAGGTGATAGCTAGAGTTGAAAGGGGTTAGGGTTTGGGAAATTAAGGTTAGAATATTAGGGATGAGGGTCAAAGTGAAATTTTATGTTAGGACAAAATTGGAATTAAAAAAAAATGGGTTCTAAAAAGAAAGGTAAAAATAAATAGCGGCTCTCTTTTAACAAAGATCCTTTATGCGAAGCCATCCAAAGGGTGGGCTGGCCATAAATCTTATTGGGTTGGGCCATGTAAAAAAACCGAGTCTAAACCCAGTATGACGTGACAATTGGTATAAAATTTTGGATAAGTTATAGTAAATTTTCTTTAATTATGATTTATTTGTATTTTGTTTGTCTAAACTTTAAAACTCACAGTTTACCATCTAGAATATTATCTTGTTACAATTAATATTTTTTGTTAGCATTATGTTAAGAATTTATACAAAATCAAATCATGTGTAAAGCACAATGACACATTTGCTGAATTTTTAGTGTAATAATACTCTTATATGATGATCCCATTTGCATTTTGTCTAAGATAATGGAGACAAAGTTCAAATGAGATCACCAAATAAGGTATTATTATTCCAAAAAAAAAAATAATAACGGGTATTATTATCCTAAAAAATCAATAAATGTGTCATGTGTTTTACACATGACTTGATTATGTCTATATCCCTAACAAAATTTTAATGAAAAGTATTAATTGTAACAAGATAATAGTTCAAGAGATTAAATGTTAAGTTTTAAAGTTCAAGGAGCAAAATGCAAATGAGTCATAACTTAAGGAGATTTATTGTAATTTACTATAACTTTTTTAAGCATAATTATATTAGTAATATTTATAATTTGTCTTCTATGTCATTTTGTATTTATTTGTACTTATATCTTTATTTAGTGTTATTTTGGTCAACTTGATTATCTTTATTAATATTTGTATGAAAATTAACAATGTGAACTGCACATGTCATCTCTTCAGGGAAAATTTGAGTTTGGAAAGTTGCTAAATAAGCAGTTTATTTGTTACAAGTTATCATATCACTTTTCTATTTTTCTATATATATTTTCTTAGAAAATTAAAATACAACTAAATAATCAAATCTCAACCAATCATTGCCCATAATATATACACAAAAATAGGGGAGACTAGAAGCCATGAGGTATTGGGAGAGGGAGGAGCCAATGGGAGTTTGTCACGACCTAAATCTGCCCATGTAGGTTTAGCATCGTAACGGCTAATTACAGATCGGAGTTGTTATAGAGTTGGTGCGAAAAGAATTTTTTTTTATTTTTTATTTTGTAACAATGACATTATTGTAATAAAAAAATGTAAATAAATTAATTAGATAAGTTTTATCTTTCATTAATCCAATGATGTTGTAATTTTTATCACAAATTATATTACTCATTGAATGGCGATATATATCTAATATCAACTCGTTGGGAAGGGAAATAAGATGATAAAAGTGGGTTAGGGAAGAGAAAAAGGCTACTCCAAAAGGGTTGGTCTAGTAGTCAAAGTGCGCGGGTGTACTTCCTTCATCAATGATTTCAAGTTTAAAATCTCTTAAGTGCAAATAATTTCTTGGAGTCAATCTATATGGGACTTTGCACCAGCTTTAATTAGAATCCCACTAATATACGGTAGGATTGATCTTTCAAATTAATTGATCCATTAGGTCAAATACCAAGTTATTAAACAAGAAAAGAAAATTACTTGTCAATAAATTTCCATTAAACATATTACTCTAGAATAGGAAAATTGGCTAGGCACAGTAGAATATGAAACACTCTCTTCAAAAGGGGTCGATCATTTTCTTGAACTAAACATATCTTCTTTCTTCTAATTTTTTATTTTTATTTAAAAAATATGAGCATTCACTATAGACAATCAAAGATGTAATTGGGGAAATCCAAAATTATGCAACCCCAACAAGCTTATAAATATAAGCTAATTGCTGAAAAAAAAGGGGGGCAAATAGAGCCTATATGAGCCAAAGTCAGTCAAAAAGCTCCGATGAGACGAGTATTATTCGGAGCCGATCTGGTGTTCGGAGGAGTTGCGGTCGGAGGCAACGTGCATTGTGCAAGGCTGGCTTTGGTCATCTTTTTGTCGTTGTAAAAGCTCATAGATTAGGAAAGTGTTGTTCTCAGACAGGATTTGTGCAAGTTGGAATTCTCAATGTATACATATATTTATGGAGACTGTGTCCACAACGGGCCAAACAAGGGTATTTCGATAATTTCGTCAGTTAGGGCTTCCTTCGTACACTACTCCTCATATGAAGTACTTTATGACTCTTTTTTTTAATAATTTTTTGACTTGTTGTACTATTTTAGTGTAACAACCCTCGTCACTGTTTACCGATTAACCACTGATTACTGCTAAACTGAGACTGATTATGATTGGTAACTGAATTGATTGGAATATTGAACTGACTGACTGAAATCTGGAACTGAATTGATTAAGTATATCTGTTCAGTTGTATGTCTGTCTGTTGACTGTTTGATTATCTGTTCATGCTTTTGTGTTTAAATTGCGAATTGAAGGCCTTATCGGCGGCCGACTCTGAAATTGATTGATGATTTGTGTTCATTGGAATTTATATGATTTTATGGTGTATTTATCTAAAATGTGATTTGGTATGATTAAATTGGATTAAAATGAGTTAAATTACAAGATTTGGACTTAATTTCCATTTTGCCACCTAGTGGACTTTCATGAGCCTCTTAGTTGATCTCTAATGCTAACATTACAACACTTCATCAGCCCATTTTTCTTAGACAAAACCGACTGAGAGAGAGAGGTAGAGGAACTTAGCTTCATCTTGAATTCTGCTTGGAAATTGAAGGATTGAGTGCATATTTGAGCTTGTATATCTTGCATCCTAGACCTAAGGTAAGAACTCATCTTCTTGATTGCTAAATTAAGTCTTATGTTGCATGGTTCATGTCTAATTGAGGAGCTAAGTCATAATTTAGTTCTAACATGTTGAATTATAGCTTAATTCATGCATGCATGTTTGAATTGTGAGTTGTGAGTTGATTTCATGGTAAAATGTTATATGCATGTTCAATTGAAGTTATGTTCTTGAGTATTGGTTTGGAATTGAGTTGTTTGAAACACCCTTGGGCTTTGATTTTACAATTGAGCTTTGGAATCATGTTAAACTATGAGTTTTGGGATGTTTTCTGGAAAATTGGCCCAAGAGGATCGAAATTCATGTTTTAAAACTTGGTTTTGAGCTTGAGGTTCAAATTTGGAAATTCCAGATTTTGAACTCACGCTCGAGCGGGGTGACTGGCGCTCGAGCGTGGAAATCGTGCTCCCAGTATTTTGTTCTGTTTTGAATTCCGCTCGAGCGAAATAACTGACGCTCGAGCGGGACATTGTGTCTCATGCTTGAGCGGGTGTCGAGCGCCCAATCGAGCGTGATTTTCACCTATCCAGCACTTTTGACTGTTTTGCAGAACGCTCAAGCGGGTAAGTCTATGCTCGAGCAGAAACCCTTGTCTGCATGTCCGCTCGAGCGGAGTAACCTACGCTCGAGTGTGACCCATGTTTTCTGAAGATTCTGAAAATGCTTTTGAAGTGCATCTTTGCATCCTCATCTCATCCTAGGCATTATTAGGCCTAGTTTAAGACATCTTAATAAGGATATAGATGTAGAACACACCGAGGCAAATTAGGGTTTAAACTATTATCTTTCCCAACTGTGTAGCTCAGTGTGTGTTCAATCTGTAACTGTGTAGGGTTGGCGACTGGGGACGCGATCTAGTTGTCTGCATGTCCGCTCGAGCGGAGTAACCTACGCTCGAGCGTGACCCATGTTTTCTAAAGATTCTAAAAATGCTTTTGAAGTGCATCTTTGCATCCTCATCTCATCCTAGGCATTATTAGGCCTAGTTTAAGACATCTTAATAAGGATATAGATGTAGAACACACTGAGGAAAATTAGGGATTAAGTTATTATCTTTTCCAACTGTGTAGCTTAGTGTGTGTTCAATCTGTAACTGTGTAGGGTTGGCGACTGGGGACCCGCTCTAGCTTTACTGTAGCCCAGAACTCTGTGAGTAACAACTGTGTAAAGATATGTTCAAAAATGATTATCTTCTGAACAATTGAACTGTACTGCTTTCTGAACTGATACTGTTAATAGAATGAATGTATGTCCTCTATTCTGAACTGTATTGTGGCATCCTTAGCAACTACTGTTACTGACTGTTATTGTTACAGAGATCTCTGTCGGTTCCCTTGTTGGAACCACTACTGTTTACTGATTGATGGCTATCATTTACTGTTCGGTCTTTTAAGACCTACTGTTTACTGTACTGTTATGCTAACGGATGTACCACATATGACTGAATGACTGATATACTGAATTAACGAACTGTTTTCATTACTGTAAGGACATTCATTCTTAACCTTTTTACGCATTGCGTTATTCACTGGGCTTTAGCTCACTGCTCATATATATATGTAGGTGTACAGGCACCAGACCGTGGTTAGAAGTGTCGGGGTAAGCTCTAGTTTTGTCAAGCCAGCCACTGTGCCTCACTGCGAGGTTCCGAGCCTGTCAAGTGGTGTTTTAGTTCCCCCTTCTGTCTCTGTAACCATTTTGTTTATTATACTGTACTGTTTAATAGGGATTAGGTCCCTGAACTGAATGATTGTATATATGTACATACTGTTCTGTACTGTTCTTGTATATGTGTATGGAAAGTCTTTTTGACATACTGACTGTCACAGCTCATTGGACATTGTTTATTTACTGTTTTAGCTTCCGCCAGCCCCTGTACTCTGTATTACTATTCTTCTGTTAAGCAGGCCTTCGGTAATCTCGAATTACTGGTCGGTTATGGTACTAAACCCATAGGGGGGGTTTGGGTCGTGACATTTAGAGTATGCTAAACACTGCCTTACTCATTTATTTATTTATTTTTTAGTTTTTAGATGCATCTGTTTAATTCTTCTCATTTCTTTCTCTGTAATTTAATTCAAGCCTCATTTATTCTTTCTAACTTCTCGCTGTTTTCCACTCTGCTTGTAGCCACCCAACTTTCGTCCCACATCTTGTGTGAGTCCTCAGGATAGGCAGTTGACAGATATAGGCAGGGACGGATCTAGGATTATGACTTTGGGGGGGGGCAAAGTACGTTTAACCTCTAACCAATAAAATTTGAAATTCAATACCAATTTCTACTAGTATAAAAAAAATCAATAATTTTACGATAAAATATTGAACTATATGTTCCTTGTCAACATAGTTGAGTACCAAAAGATGATCATACAATTGAGAATATTTTTTTGCCCATATTCACTTACAAAAAGTAGTAACTATTTCTACATGCATTTATTTACTAAAATTAGGCGTCTTCAATTGAGCTCGACGTTCTTTCATAATATCAAAGCCATCGATGATAGAGTCTACATCAAACCCTCGAGCAATGTCCTTTTCAATGTACGTAATCAAGTAACTAGCCAGAAAACCATCTTCCATCCTATTGCGCAATTTAGACTTAGCGAGTTTCATAGCTGAAAATGCACGTTCCGATGTAGCAGTTGAAACAGGTAAAGTCAACACAAGACGGATCAATCTATCAATAAGAAGATAACTTGTCGACTTTTTTGTTTTTGCCAACATTTGACACAACTCAGAAATGGTTGACAGCATCTGAAACTCGGGAAGTATGGAAATATCAAGCTTATAGTTTTCCAACTGATACTTCAAATGTAATTTTTCTTGCTCGGAGAAATCCATGGGATAAAATTTATTTGCAAGTTTGCAAATATCCTCAATGTTGAATGATCTATAACCATCCCTAGGATCCAAAGCTGAGCTTAGAATAAGCAATTCCATTACATCTTCCTTAAACCTATTGTTTAATTCTTGTAACTGGGAATCAACTGTAACCATAAAAATATCAACTCGAAAATGATGCTCCATGGTGAGCTGATCTCTTTCAAAACGAGACCGACCTCGGCCTCCTTTATAAGGACAACTCATATCAGGAATCTGTATACCATGATCATTAGAAAATAATTTAATTTTCTCCAACAATAGAACCCATCCATCTTCTCCAAATTTTTGAATAAGTATCTTCGTTGTAGACACCAAATGCATTGCATTTAATATATCTTGAGATTTACTTTGCAAAGCTTGGCAAAGATCATCAGTAATCTCCATGATATCCCTAATAAGATGTAAGATGAAGATAAACTCAAAAGATGTAATGGAATCATAAACTCTATCTGCCTCAGCTCGTTAATTCGATTTGCTTCCATCATTAATTTTGTTTCTTAGGACTGCACAAGTAGCACTGAACATGTTTATCAAACTACAAATGGAACCTAAATGAGAACCCCATCGAGTATCTCCAGCCCGTTTCAATGTTCCAATCTGATTTTTTCCTTTACTAGTCTCGAATTCATCATCAATGGCAAGCTTTTCAGTAATATCTGTAACCTGAGTAGCTCTTAATTGATCATGTCTTTTGCAAGATGAGCCAACTATAGTAATTGCTCGAGTCAAGTAAGAGAAAAATTGATTGATAGATATAACCTGTTTAGACGCTCCTACTAAAGCCAATTGGAGCCGATGAGCAAAGCAATGAACATAATATGCGAATGGACACTCAGAACAAAATAGAGCCTACAACCCAGTCCATTCTCCAGACATGTTACTGGCACCATCATATCCTTGACCACGAATATTTTGCACACTAAGGTTATGACGAGAAAGGACAATACAAATTTCTTCTTTCAAAGTTGTCGACGTGGTATCTAACACATGAACTATGTCAAACAAACGCTCTTTTATAAAACCATATTTATCAACAAATCTCAAAACAATTGCCATTTGCTCTCTTTTCGATTCATCTTCAGATTCATCAACTAGAATGCAAAAATTCCCATCATTGATCTCCTCACGAATGAATCTTTGTATCTTATCAGAGAAAATACTAAGAATCTGCTTTTGAATCCCATGGGAATGATAGGAAGCATCTTGAGGAGCGTTTTCCAAAACCACTGCTGCCACATCCTCATTATAAGAAGCCAAGAGCTTTATCAACTCAATAACATTCCCTCGGTTGTTAGATTTGTGGCGTTCATCACGACTTCTGAAAGCGCAGGCTTGGAATGTTAACCATTTAATCACATCTATCGAGGTCTTCAATCGCAAACGATTTCTAGCAATTTGTATGGAAGTTTGTTTTTTAATAATTGTCTCAATATGTTGCCCTTGATTTGTTAAATCACAACAACATTTGATAGCAACTCTACGCAATGAGTTAGGATCCTTGCCCATATGCGATAACAAAGGACAATTCTTCCCTTCATTGACTTTCTTCCAAGAAGAAAATCCCTCGACTGTAAAAGCACTAGATCCAGGGCATCCAGTTGGCTTAGTAAAAAGAAAACATGGAAGGCTAAACGCACGATTTTTTGTTGGAGAGTATTCCAACCAATCCAGAAATAACTTGTACCAAGAATCTAAAAAACGACGCCCATTCTTATCAGTTTCAAAAGGTTGATTGTTCGGAGCCTTGGGTTGATATGGCCCGGATTTGATATAAGCACGTATGATCTCATCACGTTTAGATACCGGGTAATCCCATATTTGTTGACGCAACCCCGGATCCCTCACCAAAGAAGATGTATCAACATCTTTAGATTCGACTCTTGGAAGTTTAGAAGGACGTTGTTCCAGAGGAGTTGAAGTTTCAACATTATTGGTGGAACTTTGAACGATATTTTCAGAACCTCTTTTCTTAAAAAAGAAATCATTTTTTTTGTTCGCCATGATTAACTTAACAATTGTACCTGAATCACAAACTAGCAGACAATTGGACCACCCATATTCAAACTTCAATCAACAGACATAAATATGAAAACAATCACCTCAAATAAGCCCATTAATTCTTAGACAAAAATAATAATTGTATTTGAATAAAAAACTAACAGACAATTGGGGCACCCCTGTTCAAATTTACAAAATACCCTACTGAAGAAAAAAAAGAAAACATATTGCATAAATCCCAATTAATCTCAGACATAAATTATTGAAACTTCAACCAACAAAGACAGAAATATGAGTATAATATAAGCTCAATCCATCACTATCTCACAATTAAGCCAACTTTTGCAAATTTATTTAATACCCTTCCCTCTAAGCATCCAAAATCAACAAATTAAAGCAAACCCATATATGATATAACTTTAATCCCAAAAAATCCACAAAGATCAACGATGAGAATATTAAAGTTGAGAGCATATTTATTTGATTACCTTCTTGAGGAGTCAGGACAAGGGGCTAGGCGTTGCACAGTTGCACTCCGTAACCGTATCGCTCGTCTCTCTTTATGCTGCCTCTCCAGTTGTTTTGTTTACTTTATTTTAATCTTAGTGCTTCTTTAAAGCTTCCCCAGCAAGTCTTAGCTTATATATATATATATATTTAAAAGTTTCATATTTTACACTTCGACCCACTAAAGTGTCTAAAATTTTGCTTTTATTTTAACCTAATTTAAAAAATACATGTACATGAAATTTAAAATAGATTATTATATATGTTAAATAATTCAAAAAAACAAAATTTCCAAATAGTTTAAAAAATTGGGGGGGCTACTCTATATAATTTTGAAATTATCTAAAAAAAATTTGGGGGTGCGAACTCTTATAATTTTAAATTATTTTAAAATTTCTAGTATAATATATGATATTTTTCAAATTTTTGGGGGTGCGGCCGCCCCCCTCCCCCCCTAGATCCATCCTTAGATATAGGGGTTCCCAGAGAGGGTATGAACGAACACATAGTATGTGAAAACATGATAAGTTATCCAAGAATTTAGAATTTTGAATTACTTTACAGAACCACAATGAGTCGATTATTTCAAAAAAGTGTTTTTAAAGGCTCAAGGCGCACTAAGGTGCTGAAAGTCTCTTGAGGCCTAGGCGCAAGGCGAAACGCGAGCTTTATTGAAGTAAGGCGCACAGTCTTAGTAAAAATAGATAAATTAACATAGATTAATTATTCATAGTATTAAGACAATTTTTTTTAAAAAAATAAAAAGTAATCAAGACAAATTATTGAATAATTATGCACGAACTTTAATTTGCTCATCAATTCCTTCTCTTCACTTTGCAAACACTTTAATTATGTAGCAACTTTGTTTAAACTGTACAAATAACACAATATTATTAAACGCAATTAGTTGATTTTTTTTCATATTAATTTTTTATTTTCATATATTTGAAGCTGGAAACAAATTTCACATTAGTTTTATGACAATAAAATTGTGTATAGCTTTTAAAATTATTTTCAATAGTTATTTATGTAGTTGTTTTATTTGAATTGAATGTAATTACTTTTAATTGTTTTTTGAATTAAATTTTGATATTTAAAAATTTGAATTTATAACATAAATGCAAAGAATTAATAAAATAAGTGAAGCGAGAGAATAAGAGAGATAAGAGAGACAAGATAAAGGGTTAGAAAAATGGAAAACAATTTCAGTGTAATGTAATATGTGATTAATTAATTATTTACAATTTTTTTCCCCTAACAGAGAGAGGAAAAAAACAGACCAACAGTGTAATATAATTTGTAATTTCAATGTAAAATAATTACGAATAATTTGTATTTTACCAACAGTGTAAAATAATTTGTAATTTCAGTGTAAAATAATTACAAATAATTTGTATTTTACCAACAGTGTAAAATAATTTGTAATTTCAGTGTAAAATAATTTTTAATTTCAGTGTAATATAAGTCTTATTTGTATTTTTATTTTAATTTTTTTCAACAGAGACTGAACTAAATTTAATAAGAAGAAAAAATAGAAGAATAAGAAGAAGAAGAGAGAGAGAGAGAGATAGAGAGAGAGAGTCAAAGTCGAGGTCGAAGAAGCAAACCAAAAAAAAAAAAACAGAGCAAGTTGAAGAAAAAGCAAGCAGCGAAGAAGAAGAAAAAGAAGAAGAAGGAAAAAAAAAAAGGCAATAGATTTCTTCTTCGCTGACCAACGAAGAAGAAAAACAGAAGAGAAGAAGAAGAAGAAGAACTGACTTGATGAGCTGAAGTCGACGTCGAGAGAGGAGAGGAGCCCAGTCGAAGTTGAAGTCGAGAGAGGAGCTCAGTCGAAGTTGAAGTCGACAGATTTCTTCTTCGATAGATTAGGGCTTTGAGTGAGTCGTATATTGATTTGGATTGGGTTGTGTTGTGTTACATGAGTTGTAATTCTATGTGGTTGGAGCCTCTCACACACAGATCACAACCGTTAGATTAGATTCAAGAAGAAAAAAATAAAGCCCCTTCAGGCTCGCACCTTACGCCTTGCTGCGCCTGGTCAAAGTCATGTCCAAGGTGCGTGACTCTTCAAACGCGCCTCACCTGAGTCCCCTTCAAGCGCAATGGGTGCGCCACGCTGCACCTTGCGCCTAGGCGTGCTTTTCACAACACTGTTCCGAAGTAACTCTTCAGTCAGTTCTGGATCTACAATATTAGCTCCTATACCTGATACAGTCATAAACAAAGAAGATCATGAATTTCAAGATTTAAAAATAGATTTAAGTTGGAATATCCAAAAGTCCCTATTAAAGAAATCTATAAAACCAGTGTTTTAAAGTTATCTTTTAATATTGATTTACATGTCAAAACTGTTGAACAAGTTTATGCATTAACAAAAACCCAAGAAACCTATCACTTATTGACTAAAGAATCAATTGAAAAATGTTTATCTACCAGTTATAATTTTATTCATATAGGCTTAATTCAAGTAGTAGAAAAACCATTAACTACTCAAGGACTTAATTCTTCCGTTTTATTATGTTTAAGAGATGCTCGATTTATTAATTACCATGCTAGTCTAATGAGAATGATGGAATCTGGTCTTCATAAAGGACCTGCCCATTTTAATTGTTTTCCTGATTTCACACTAAGTTTATGTGATCCTTACATATTAAAAGCTTTAACATTAAATATACAAATCTCTGGAAAATTTACTAAAATACTTGGTGGTGCTCATTCTATTGCTTTAATATATCTAATTTATTATAAATGCATCAAAACTAATCTTAATGTTCATGCTTCAGTTAAAAGCCTGAAAGATAAAACTTTCCTTATTCAAAGTAGTACTAATGAGTCCAATATTGATGTCCTTACCACAATTTGTTGGAATGACATAACCTTTCCCGATACTTGGGTTACAGTCAATAAAAATTATTCACACCCACACCAATCTAATACTAATGATGTCCAACAAATCCAACAACATGATGATATCACCCTAGTTTTAGTTAATTTTCTAGACATAGTACATCTAGTATCCCTATTGATGACGATGAAATCTTTAGTTCTACGTTATTTACTCGAAAAGATTGAAAACTTCTTATTGGCCAACTCTCACACACAACTGATAGTAAGTTAAAAGGAATAGATAATTCCTCTTCATCTCAAATTAGTAAACCAGTTTATTCAACACACACACATTTTCTTGAAGACAACACTTGTAGACACCCCATTTTTGACGGCCCTTACAACTTGGATGTCATTGCATTCATACCCAATGATTAGTGTATTTGCTTGTCAAGTGCTCAGAATCCTCAGCGGAACGCCATAGCTTTGAGCCCTTCAAACCCTACACCCTTGTTGCCTCATTCTTGGACCAAACCTTGGATCTTCAAGCCTGCAACCCCTGGTGGCCTGCTGGCCACCTCTTTGGGCTATTGGCTATCACTCTTGGTTACCGGCCACCAATGATGGCCTGCCGGCCACCAGTGTTTTTTGCAAATATTTTGTGACAGCTATGCCAGTTGTTTGAACAGATGCTTGTATCTGCTCCCATGTGTATGGTTGGATGTTCTTGAGGGAAATTCATGTTTTCTATATATAGGAGACCTCCCTCTCTTGTTTTAAGGTTAGAAAAATTCTGAAGTAAAATTTTTCCTCTCTCTCTACAATTCTCTCACTCTCTTGCAAATTTCTACACTCTTGCCTATATACCCTTAACCTTTGCCTATACACTCTTAACCAAACCTCTCCATATTTGAGATGAGGTATCTTTGAGCTTAGTTGGAGCTCTTGAGGGTGTGTTTGCTTGGTTTTATTGCTTGGAATTGATTTCCTCTTCAAGAGGTATAAAACTTTGCCCATTTACTTACTTTAACTACTCTTTTTTCTACAATTTTCCAACTGTTTTTGGGCTATAAAAACTCAGTATTTTTGGGCTGAAACTTGGGTTTTAAGGCCATTAAATGTTGAGGGGTGGTCCACCCTTCTTTGCACCTTATTTTGAAGGCCTTTATCCTTGTGTTTCCCATCTTTTTACTATCTTTTTTTGAGCTTTTAAACACTCATTTTTAGAGTTATTTCAGTGGCTAAAATCATGTTTTGAAGTCCAAATTTGGAGGGGTTAGCCTCCCCTCCTTGTGTCTTGCTTACTGGCCTAGCTTGTGCTATGTTTTAGCTTATTAATCTAGCTTTTTTTCCATCTTAATTCCAGCATATTTTAGGACTATTTTTAGATTCTTTTAGCACTTTTTTTGGTTGATAGTTGCATTTGAGCTTTGTATTGCATGCTTATAGTATAATTGTCCACATGAGTTTGGTGTTTTAGGCCTTAGAACCCATCTTATTTGAGTTGATTGCATTTATTTATGGCTTTCCATACTTGTGATCACTCTTAATCATCTTTACAGCCTCCCTCCTTTCTTGGCTTTTTTTTTTTGCTTTGAAAGTGGTTTCAAATTACTTGTTTGTTTAAGCATGGGATTGAGATGTCATGCTTAATGGTTTAATCCCTTTGGGGGTTCATTACCAACAGTGTGATGTCTCTTTCATGTCCAAAGAAACACTTGATTTGAGCCCTCTTTCTATTAGAGGACTTAAACTCACCTTTAGACTCAATGAATTAAAGGATGGTTGGTAATTTAAAATGAAGTAATTAAAATGATACTAAAATGATGCAAGATAAGAATTTGGTTTTGTGTTTAATCGGACGTTAATTGAACACATGGAAGCTTGAGGCATTTCATACTCATTCGTGATGAGATGATTCAACTTTCCAAGGTCACCATTTCCCTTGATCAATTCATAAAAGGGAGGAGGTTAGAGTCTTATTTTGTTGCATTTATTGAACTTGCACACTTTGGTTCATAAGCCATCATGCAATGAAATTGCTTGAGTTGATGGTTTGTAGACCAAGTTTTGTCTTTTCTTTGATCTGTTCATGATAAGGATGTTTGTTCTCTGTTGCAGTTAGATGAACTGTGCAACAGGGGCCGGTAGGCCACCTTTGCAAAATCCAACAGTGTGTTTTTGGGGCAGAACAGAGACATTCTGGAAGTGGACAAAGGTGTAAGTGTTCTACTGTGTAACAGAAGCTTTCTGGAAGCAAAACAATGGCCTTTTCGGGTAGAAACCGAGCATGTGCATGAGTATTCCTCGTGTACCGAGCTTGTTTAAGCCTAAATACTTAGATGTTTATTGTAATTAAGTAGTTGTAGCTAGTTAATTTTGTAAAAGTGTTGTAATTATTTTAATTGGCTAGAATAGTTAATTAATTTGTTGTAATAATTAGTTAAGTAGTTTAGCTAATTATTCATTTCGGTTTGTAATAGTTAGCTTAATTAGCTTATCTTTAATTAGTTAGCTAGTTGGTTTATTCGGACCGTCCTTCGTGAGGGCGCAAACTTGTAATAATGTGTATGTCTTCCAACCCTACGTCTTTCTCCTTTTTATTTACTAGCTTATGATGGTTAGTTTAGGGACATTATGTTTTGTTTAGCATACTTCATATTTGCATCCACTTTTATTGCATGCACTGAGGCTCAGTTCATTATTCTAACTACATTGTTAGTTTAATACTTCTTTGAATACATGCTTAGACCGCATGCTATTTAATTGATCCATATGCCATATTAGTAGCCGAGCCTATTACTTGCATAATGCATGTGTTCAATTAGTCATATTGCATAGTTAGGATTCATACATTTTTCTAACTCATTTCTCTTTTGGCTTGGAGTACTAGGTGAGCCTTTACTCGCATTAGCATATCGCATATGTGTGATTGTTGCTATGTTTAGCATGCTTGCCATGAGGCTAATTGCTTAAGTGCTATAATTGCTTGAATGCCCGTGGATGAAGGCTAATTCCTTGAATTAGAATAATTTGAGTAATGTTCATATGCGATCACTTTTTCAAGTGGTACATATTCGAAATAATTTTCAAAACGTACATGAATCAAGTGTTCCAATTCTTGCAAATTAGTCAATACTTGCGTGTGTGCATCATATAGTAATGCTAGCCTAATAAATCGGAACAAGAGTATAAAATGTAGATAAGATTCACATTATGATTAGTAGAGGCCGATCTTTGATCAGGTGAGCGGGGGTGCTCAATTCATGACTTTCCCCTCTCGTACCTAAGTTCCTGAGCTGAGACAATCTTTGTGATGACGGACACATGGCCTTTGGCATGAGTCATGGGTTTCCTAGATTTTTTAAAAATATTTAGGTGGCGACTCTGTATCTGGCAAAGCAGTTCATTTTTGGCAATTTGATTCAAAATTGATTTTCCAAAAGAATTGCCGGATTGGGACTCTTTAGTGTTTATCTATTTCAAATTGCACTTGTGGAATTAGATTCAGAACCGTAAGAGTCTGATACTGTAGGGCTTATTCGTCTTCCGAAAGGAGGCACGAAAAGTTGAGCTACAGTTTCTGGCAACTCTGCTGGGGATTTAGAGAACTTGACTTGAAATTCATGATGTAAAATTTTATCTACATTTATATGTTTCTTTGCATTGTATTTGTATTGGTGCGCTTAAGTCACTGTGTTTGCCATCTATTATTCCTGGACGGTTTGCCGGAGGCTTGCCTGAAAAGCTTGTCAAAAGGCTGACCGGTCACGGGCTCTGGTATGATTGCAACACAACCCTTGGATCTGGACTACCGCTATTCCACTTGATCCTCCTTTCACTTCTCAGTGTTATGTGTGAGAGATATATTAGGTAGTCTTGCTGAGGTACCCTTTTTGACCATTCAGCCTAGTTGCATATCGAAAAGCCTTAGTGACTATTCCAAACTAGGGAATGACGCTTACCCGAAATGCAGGACTGCGTGAAACTGCTTTGTTTCAATAGTGGACCCTAGTTCCTGACGAAACTAGGACAGGGTAACCCTACCCCCTCATAGGGGTGCTTTGGCTCTCTTTAACTAGTATGTGCTTTACAGTGAAACTGTACAAGAATGTGCATATCAATTGCAATGTTGGTATCTATTTTAGGCTAGAATGCAGCGGAGAATACATTCATTCAGCTGTGATCATATTTATTTTAGTGAAATTGGGCTGAGGTGCTGTCTGTTTTCTCTTTTGCTAGGTAGTCCTGGAACCATAGCTTCAGAAGGCTCCAATATCCCCCGGGTACTCTGGATTTGTGCCGATAGACTTTGTCAGGTCGGAAATTTAGTTTAGAGACAACCAGTGTTTGCTTCACTTTCACCGTTGGCATGAAGA